TCGCAAAATCAAATCAAAGTAAAATAATAAAATAAAAAGGCATTAATAACAAATATAATAAAAAATAAAATTAAAATAGGTTTATAGCCAAAATAATTAAAGCCCGTACACTACATCAGATTTTAATCAGATTAGTCTGGACTCCTGTGTGTATCTGGACTCCTGTGTGTATCTGGACCCCTGTGTGTATCTGGACCCCTGTGTGTATCTGGACCCCTGTGTGTATCTGGACCCCTGTGTGTATCTGGACTCCTGTGTGTATCTGGACTCCTGTGTGTATCTGGACTCCTGTGTGTATCTGGACTCCTGTGTGTATCTGGACTCCTGTGTGTATCTGGACTCTTGTGTGTATCTGGACCTGTGTGTATCTGGACCTGTGTGTATCTGGACCTGTGTGTATCTGGACCTGCGTGTATCTGACCCTGTGTGTATCTGGACCTGTGTGTATCTGGACATGTGTGTATCTGGACATGTGTGTATTTGATACCATGGGTAAATGACTCACCAATAAATACTTTCCATGACTTTTCATTTGTAGCCTGTCTCCATCCATATGGCCATCCCACAACTACAGTGTTGTGTTTTAAACCACCAAGTCCACATGTCTGGATACTGCAATACACATGTAGCCATATGATTTAGTTAGCATACACATACAAGAATCATGGGACACTATTGTTTGTGTAATTTTAATCCAGAAAGTAAATTTGTTGTGAGATTAGGCTTAACTGGAAGTGCCCCTTTAAGATCATTGGTAGTCATTCAACAAAAAAACCCCGAGAAGATGCTTCTCTAGGATCTAAATTACATCCTAATAAATAGACGTGAAAATTTATTAATAGTTGGATATTGATTTGAACACTTATCACATACTTTTTAAATACAATATATTCTTTTTGAAGAAAACTACCTACATTCTACTAGAAAGTAAGTACACTGTGTGAACAATACATCAAACATCACATCAGCCACACCCTACAAGGGTTAGACATAAGTACAATCGACTTACAGAGAACATATGCCATCAGATACTCGTTTAGACACCAGTACTTTTGCAAAGCCTCTAATCTTCTCCTCTGCCATGTATTTTCGAAGACACTAGAAATGAAACAAAATCATGCATGACCCGATTATTCTCCACTCCATTTTTCCTGTTGAATCTAATATTCGATACATTTTTTATAAAAAAATTTAAATACTGTTATAACACTGTTTGACATGTCACATTTCTTTATCCTGAAACCAACACTTTTCTCTGGAATTGATCAGTTTCTTTATTACAAACTGTCTGGGTTTACTCGTTAATCAAATGATTTCTCTGTTGAACGTTTTTAATGCCTAATCGGGCAGTATCAGACCAAAGTTGTTCTCTCATGATGAACTTGCATGAGATACAACATTAGAAATTATTTTTAGTGGCAAAGACCTGGTACTGGAATCACCTTTCTTCTGATTAGCCAAGCTGTGGAGCAATCACTCTACTGACTGAGCTAAGCAGCTGATTGATGAAGTAATGCAACAAATGGCCAGTGATAACACATGCTTTGTAGGTGCGTTGTGTACTTCTTGGTCAGCTTTTTTCTGATCTGATCATCAGTCTATCATCTGCATACATAACCACAATAGGGTTTGTAGAAAATTCACCAAAAACTGCTAAAATTTACTCCAGAAACAAGTGACATTGTAGGTGCAACATAGTTAATCAACAGGTTTTTTTTTGGGACGTCTACTGACTAAAATTGAATGCTTTTTGACTCAGCAGTTTACTAAAAAAAATATGGTTCAATCCTGTATTAGTGTCCTCTTACCACTTGGTTTACTCTCAGTAAAGCACTATATTTATATATACTTTATGAGGATTTAAGGTTAAAGCGTGAGGGTTGTTACCTGCGCATGTGCGGGAATTGAGTCCCAAGTGATGATAACAACAAATGCTATGTGTCATTGGTAGACACTTGTTTGTAAACATTGACATGCTATGGCCATCTGACGCATGTGCAGGTGATGACTCTCCCGCTTTAAACACCAGTAGCATTCAACCATTAGACAAGCATATTATTGAAGGCTACACAAATCATACTCATTATACTCATACTCATAGACATTATGGATGGCCATGCAATGAATAAAGACATTTTGAACACCGTAAGAAATAGATTTTAAATTTTCTGAGATACTGGACAGGAACCAACCAACCAAGGAGAACTACTATAACATCACTGCTGAATTCTGGCTCAGAAAATGAGCACAGGAAAACTGCTGCCACAGAAAAGCAGAATAAATCACACCAAAATACATCATAAAACAGAAGTTGCTCAACTGGGGTGAGTTTGATCAAGAAACTTAATGATGCCACTGGTTAAGAGTTGTAGAAAAACTAAGGCTTACACAGTAGCGAAAACTATTAACAATACTAGTACACACAAGAAGTACTGTTCATTTGTTCTCTACAATAGTGATTGACAACTTACTAATTTAGCTGCTTGTGCTTCTCCGTAGTTATTGAGGAAATCTCCTTCAATGACACTGCCAACCAGAGTTAGACCTTTACCTGTGATGATGTATACTAAACGTCAATACACAGTATAACATTTAGTTTCTGTAAATATTATTTGTGCAATACACAAACATCAAATCAATCTTTACATCTGTATTCAATGGGAATCTCTCTTAAATATTGAGGGGGTTTGTGATTTTTTTGGGGGTTAACAGATCACTGAAAACCTCCATGGTTACAGGTCGTCAAAATGAATGGAAAAAAATTGTGACAGCAGCCAATGCGTTAACATTAAGTAACCCCTTAATAAGAACCATATGAATTTAATAAAACAATAAGTGCCACATATTATAATAGTATTATTTTTATATACTTCATACTGTAGAATACTTTATTTTCGCTTGGAATTTATTTTCGCTATTTTCACTGAAGGGATGATTCCATGAAAATAAAATCCAGCGAATATACTTTTTTTCCTATATTTTCCTATATTTATTAAACTCATCAAAAATCAGTGAAAATAAATTCCATACAAAACGCCCAAAAAGCCTTTTCAGCGAAAATTAAATCCAGCGAAAATAAAGTATTCCACAGTAGTTAATACGATTTGTAGTACTAGTTTTTTGAGCTCAACTGTCACATCTATTAATAGGATTTTTTTAAAGTTCTGATTCAAAATGATCAACTCACAATGTGGAATACAATAATTACAAATGTATTTATTGTCAAATATATTTGGAACAAATTTGTCTGTATTATGACAATCAATAGGGGCTTGCAGTGATAAATCTGTAGACATAAACTGGATACATACCTGCTTTCAACTGACTAGCAAATGTCAGTAGTTTTCTCCCACTTTCCTTTGGTTGGTAGTTCCCATCCAATTTACACATAACCAAAATTTGGGGTCTGAAAAATATGAGCAAAATTTGTAATGTCTGTTTGGTTGAATAATGTAAATGCATTAATTATTATTTGCTGGTTATTAATTTTGCTATTTACACTGATAAGTAAAATCTGCATGAACATGTCAAATAAGGTAATAGAAATAATTGTTTTCCTACGAAGTTTGTGAACCCAGTGAAATAAATGGTGTTACAGAAGGAAACCAATGTATGGACCATTCCATTACTGTACAGGGGGAACTTACCTCCAATTTTTGGTATGTGGTGGGTTGTCTTCAAGTCTGAGTAGACTAAATCTTGCGGCCGTTAATGACAAACCCCTCAATCCATCTCCCCATTCTTTCTCAGCACTGAAATAAAAAAATATTAGAAAAATCAGTTGTATCCCGCTACCATGGAAACAAACTAACTAAGCATAGGATAAAAACATTTGGCACTACTTATTATAGGAGGCTGTCAGTGAAATATGTAAAATGATTCAGCTCTGAAGGCTTCTACTACAATTGTTACGGTAGCGATTTCAACCAAAATTGTGGGAATCAACTGTGAAACTTATTTCAATTTATCAAAGCCCAGGAGTCAGATTGTGTCTTCAGACGACAAAGCAGACGTTCTTCTCTTTGTTTCAAGATGACAAACTTGATGCAGGAAAATTAGAATGTGAAGCATTACTTATTAATATATTGTGGATTCCCTCTCAAAATGAAGGTGATAATTTTTGGCATGTGTCTGTGTCATTGAAATGAGTGTATGAATCAAGACTTCAAAATAAATTGTCTATTATATAGAGTGAATGTGTTATCATCTTATTAAATCTATACACTCACCCTCTATATTCTATGTACTTGTAAATACATAATGCTACTGCTGCAGCTACCAATGCATAGTACCAGCTAGAAATAAACATCAGAGAAATACACAGCCCAGCACCGAGTAATGATAGCGTCCAGTGGTAGTAACGGAATCGTGGTCTCCAATTAGGCGTTCTTAGCAATGTCTGGAGTGCACACGCAAAGTTAACAAACATATAACACATTAGGAAGAACCTGTGGAGTAGAGATTAGAATAGGATTAGAACTGAAGTTTAAAAAGCATATTGCAGTCAACCAACATTCTACATCACAGATTACATTCGGCATAGAATGCAAATGAGTCGGGGCTTTACCCTTCTTTTTATGTACAGTGGAAATTATTAAAATTGACTTACATAGTAATAATAGGAGCTACCATATCTAAACTAGCTATTAATATCCCAACTTCTGATATACAAAGCGTTAATAATAATGCCCATGTAGGTTCCCCAGTTGAAGAACCACGTCCAAATATTGCTAGAAATGGAATTATATTGTCTTTTGCTATGGCCTGTAGTAGACGTGGTGCTCCAGTTAAACTCTGTAGCCCTGCTCCAACAGTTGACATGAAAGAGCCAATCAGTATGACCCATTCATTTGGCCATGCCAGCTGAGCAACAACCAACGAACCACCAATACTTTCACCGAACCTGCGAAATGGAAAGAAGAATGAGATGAGAGGAGTTCAAAGTAGGAACAATATTTTGTTATTTTCTGTTGAATTCATAAAATGATAGAACTTACTTATCTCTGAGAACGACTCCTTTCCCAGTAGCACCAAAAAACAAAACAGTTGTCAAATCTACAATAATATAGTCAAGAAAATTGTCACAAGATTTGAAGGAACCAAAAATGAGCCAGTCAAAATCCGCTTTACAATAGTTTGAAAGTAAGCATTGATTTTGTAAGATATTTTGTGATTGGTCCTGGTTCAGAGATACGCTAGACTGACAATCAATGTACATCAGAACAAATTTAATATTTGAAATGTACATGTCATAATTTAGATATATAATTGAAACAGTAAAAAACTCAAATGAAGTAATTTGTAACATATGGTAATTTTAACAACAACTATAATTTTATCAAGATTCAAACACTAGAGGGCGCTCTAATAGAAAATTCTGTACAAAGTAGTGGAGGATACAAATAAAAGTAGTTGTCAAAATTGCCGCAATGGTTCCTCTTGGTATTGACTGCTGCGCATCTTTTAAATCACCAGATCTGTTTGATCCTGCCATTATACCTAAAGAAATAAGAAGAGATAACAATACATTGTTCAAAACCAAGAAGTAGTGTACTGTAATATACCAGTCTTTTCGCTGAAGGGATGAAAACACCATTTTTCTATATTTTACATTCAATTTATCAAACATCAGTGGAAATAAATTTATTAATATGAAACAACCAAAAACTCTTATCAGTGATTAATTTTAGCTAAAATAAAGTATTTGACAGTGCTTTAAAGGTTTTGTTTTTTGTTCTGGAAAAAAATGAAAAATGCTGCGAAGACACTGTTTTAATTTTATTTGCATTAAAATTATTCAATTTAGCTTGGAATTTCAGAACTTAAAGCGTTATCAACCATGGTATTTTTCTCAAATAACTGTAAATCCAATTTAAATACTAATTTGTACAGAAGTAATACACATAAATAGCATTCTATTATTGCGTCACAAATGATTAGGCCATTTGCTCCAAGAATAGATAGAACCATCCATCAGCTGGAACTACGCAAGTGATCATTATTAGACACAGTTCTCATCATGAAATACGCACAAGATAAAAGACCACTCAGCAAAGATAAACAACTTACCGGTGACTGACGGAAAGAAGATTGCTAGTAAAATTGTAAATGAAGTTGTCATGTCGGCCACAATCTGATTGTGTTTGCCTTGTTCACGTGGTAACACTTCTCCTTCTGCTCTGTACAAGTTTTTCCCATTGTCTACAATGATAGATAGAGGTTAGTCATTAGTTTCCATGACAACTGAATTGCTTCTCTTAAATATTTACCTTATCAAAAAAACAATGATTCATCTTCACGTTCTCAGGAAAATAATTGTAAAGTAACACTTTTCATCTCCTTTGCAAAAGAAATAAATCAATGATAGACATCGTACAGATCTAGTCTCTGATAGGATAGATTGGTACATTTTGTACAGTTAAATGCTTATTTGATAGAACATACTTTGATGACTTACTTCTAAAAATGTGGACAAGTCAGCAGACATTTTAACCTGGCCTTGCTTTAATTTACTCCATTCAATAATTTTTATAAACCTTCATTATAATCAATTATCTCTGGCTTTGCACATAATTTTGGTTCTACCTTTTCAATTTTTTTTAATAACATCACATCATCATCAATACTAATATAATTCCTGCATAATTATTATATTTATTATAAGATATAAGTGGAAATTTAAAAATAAACCATGAGCATTATTGAAAACAGTCTTCAGCAGTCATATGCTACTGACATCACATTGTAACCCGACCTTATTTTGTCATTGGCATGGAGACCAATTACTTTGCAGTAGTTGGATAGAAGAAAAAGAGAAAGTTTAGTTTTATTTGTATCAGTATTCTGCAAGTGCATAACAACATTAAACTGGACAGGTGCTGTTAGTTTAATAGCAGAATGCAGTATAGTAATTGTTATCGTCATGAGTAAGGCAGATTGAGCCAAATTTTGCACTACTGAGCATGTGCAATGCATTATGGAAGAGACTTTACTCATTGTGTATAATAGAAAACTTTTATTGAAATTAAATGTTATTTTTAAAATGTTTTAACAATATCCATAATAATACAAAATTTTGTTCTCCCATATGACCAAGCAAAATTTTGAAATACACAGAAATAATTATGCTGTATAAACCAGTGCAAAATGCAAATTTTGACTATTTCCATATTTCAATCAAAATTGTCTGGTGACCAATTTGGTGGTAACCCAATATAACTCATAATAATGAAAGAATGAAGCTTGACCTCCTTAAATGACAAATACAGCACACTGGTTGCCACTGTTATTAGGTAACATTTGACATGTAACAGACCCAATCACTAACTAAAGCTGTGAGCACTCATTTGGAATAATTTGATTAAACTCTAGCCTATATATAATGGTATGAGGTTGTCAATTGGCATTACTTGTACATAGAGTTGGACAAGTGACATCACAGATTATGTGTGTATCATCCAGTTCCATGAATAAGTGAACATCTTAGGTGATAACTTTTTTTATCATTAACTCTGATTGTCAGATGGTGATTTTTTAAGATTAACAAATATTACATATTGATATTTCAAGCAGTACTAAAACTGAGTCTGTGTATGACATACACGTATTAAAATACTAGTAAAACTGATGCCCCAACAGAATATTTGCACAGCGCCCCCAACTATTATTTGGTGCCCTCTAGTGGGCAAAAAAATCTTAATTTACAGTAAAGTGTGCATCTCTTATGCTATCGTGTTATTTTGGCTACCATTGCTTTTTTTTTTTTTTTCAGTTAAATGTAGCTTATTCAGCAAAACGTAATTATTAAATTATTTTGACTGAATTATTATAATGAGGTATTTTAGGTACTGTAGAATACTGAAGGAATGATTCAGTGAAAATAAAATCCAGTGAATATACCTTTTTTTCTATATTTTACATTCAACTAGTCAAAAATCAGGGAAAATAAATTCCATACATGACATTCAAAAAGTATTTTCAATGAAAATTAATTCCAGCTAAAATAAAGTATTCTACAGTATTTGAATTCAAGTTTTGCTTAATTATTGGATCAAGTCGAATTTGCTGAAATAGCATGTACAGGTAGAACGTATTTAAAGCTGATGGTATAGTGACCTCAATTTTCAAAATAGTTCTCTGTCATTAAAAAAATTTCAAAAACACAAAGTTTGAATTGTTGCCAACTCACCTATGAACACACCACTAGCAATCCCTGGGATGGAATTGACAGATTTTAACTCGTGATTTGCATAGTACTCATCACAGGTTAGATTAGGATTGTTGTAATCACAATACATAATTGCTAAACTTGTATAGTTGCCATCATCGTAGTACCACGAACACGGCTCACTTGTATCCTTCTGTAGCGCTTTATCACCATCCATTTCACAATACCTAATGTAGAAATGAAATGAATGAATTTCTCATTGTATATATAATCAAATCTGTATCAGAAACAGCATCCTTCTAATAGAAGCCATACCCCTCTCATTTTCAGCATCTATGAAAAAATAACGAATGGAAGCTTCATTGTCTATGTTGCATAAAAGTTGTGACATTTAGTACAGTTTTTATAGTAGTAGTTTCACCTCTTGATCAAAATACTACGAAACATAAGAACAAATTTATGGTGGGAAAAGTGGCGTACATGATATTTCAGGAGTAACCAAATTTACAAGAAATTTATAACAAACAAGTCACAAAAGAATGTTCATATCTGTCGCATATTTCTTTTCGACATTTGATCTACGATATTTGCAGTTAATATTGGGCAATTACGGTATATTAAAATTGAAGCATTTGTGTATTCAATGCACATTTTACATATTTTATTTTACAACTATTTTTTTACATTTAATATTTGTTGAACCTCTGAATATAATTACAGTTGATATAGTTACAGTTGATCACATGCACAAGATTTCGACAGTAAACTAGGGAAAGGACAGATGAAACATACAGAGAAAGATTTATACTATTTGCTGTATATAAGTATCAACCTTTGACCTACATAGGATACAGTGCACATTTATTGCAGTATATTGCTTTTTTTATGACATATTACATCAAACTTTTGAAAAATTTGCTTCTTTTTTCTCATGAAACAATATATCATATCCATGTCAATCATTGTACAAGGTTTTTCCAACAATTAAATAATTTCATTTTTTTATACACATTTTATACTTTCCCAGTATTAAAGTAACACTTTATCTTAAATTCAATGAGAAGATCACATATACTTGATAACTAAATAGTACATTAGGTACAAATTCACCCCTAAATTCTTAATATTCATGTTGTTTTATTGCGAGAAAATCTGAGGGATATATAGAGGGACTATAGAGGGACTATGGTTTATTCTATTTCCAACAGAGGTGCATGTCAACACAAAAATTGCATTTTAGTGTGATTTTTTTAATCTTGGCGGATGGTTTTAATGTTTAAAGATGATTAGTACACATTTGCATGAAGTTATGTTTTCATTAAGGAATCCGGCAGAAAAGCAAGGGATGTGATCCTCAGGGGCATACATGTACTGTAGAATACTTTATTTTTGCTTGGAATTTATTTTCGCTATTTTCGCTGAAGGGATGATTCCTTGAAAATAAAATCCAGCGAATATACTTTTTTTCCTGTATTTCACATTAAACTCATGAAAAAGCAGTGAAAATAAATTCCAAGCAAAACGTCCAAAAAGCCTTTTCAGCGAAAATTAATTCCAGCGAAAATAAAGTATTCCACAGTATGTCCCTTGACCACATGTTAATAACCAGCCACTCACAGCATTCTGTTTATATCTACGAGAAACACCCATACACCCAAAATTGCATTTTTTACTGCATGCTGGATCATTAGAATAGGATCATGGACATACTTCTGACATTTACTAATAGAGGTACTAATATAGCAAATATCCTGTCGAAGCTTAAGTCAAGATTAACTTAATGTATACCTAAGTCATGCCTAACTATTTATACAACAGATCATTATTGAATAGAGTAAACTGCTATGTGGAGATTAATACATCATAAATGTCTTACAATGCTGAGAGAATTATGACAAACCCTCTGGAAATGTTCAAATGTCAATGATCTTTATGGTATCTGTATGGTTACAATTATGTTAACTTTTTGTGAAAGATTAGATCTGAATTCATTTTGCAAAACGACAGCAGCTCCCATCACAAAACTGATTGGCAATATACAGAAGACAGCATGTAGGCGTACATGAAGTGAATAGTGAAGCTGGGTAAACAGATGCGAGGAAGAACACAAGACAAAATGGAGCCCTTGTCAATTTGATTGGAAATTTGTCATCAATTGACATGCTGCAAACAAATTAGTAAATTGGTTTACTGACTTTCAAGATATTGAATAGACTTTAATATATCTCTATAGCTTTTCAACCTTTCATACAGTAAATGTGTGCCTCCCTCTGTAAATTGAGAATCAATGAATCAATAGAGTTGATTTCAAAAGATGTCATAAACGAGGGCATACTTACATTGGTCCACTGTGTGGTACGAAAAACCCAATATAAATACATATAACAGATATGATAACACACGCTAAGAACAACGATGCACACTTGTTGACGTATTTGACACCTACGAAAACCATTAGACACATCAATATAAGCAATATAGAACCATATACACGCATGTTGTTGTACATAACAGGACTTTGGGATGCTCCGACACCGCTAATATCACCAAATATGGATAAGACAGGAGCCATGTAAGTCTGAAACAGAGAAGTGCAAGTTTAATACAGTTCTTCTGCCATCATATTTCATATGACATATATTGTATCCAGGGGTTTTTCTAGAAAAAAATAAACAAGAGGGAGCACACACAGGCGATCGACCTGGAAACGCCATATCGGAAGGTTTCTGCGTTTTTTTAACGGTTTATCTATGGCTATTGAAACATTTAATTAATTTTAATAGTAAGTTTAGTGTATTTGGTGTCCACATTGTCAGCTGGTGTTGCTGGCAAGTTTTCACAGAGAAAAATATATTTGAGAAAGATTTTATGTTGTACACAGAAGTATAGAAGCAGAAGCGGCTCAAGAAATATATTTATGACTTGAAAGTTCAATCGGCAATTCAGTAAGAGGGCGCCAGGCAAGAGTATCAGGGCGCTGCGCCCCTGTTCAGAAAAAACCCCGGCATCCTCTATTAGAAGCTCAAGTCAAATAGAGTAGCTGTACCATATTTTTGACTTCCGTCTTAAAATCTTAAATTTTGAATTAATTTTAATGTTTCTTCAATACTCTCAGCACACAAGAGTTCTTTCTAAGCTTTCTTTGTTTTCTATTAAAAGAGCATTTTTAAAGGGAGGAAGAAGTGTATGAATTTGTTTGCCGCTGATGATGACTATACAATTCTAACATCATACACGATTATTACAATTATAACATAGTTGAACTCTGGTGACCTTGCCCTTTGTTATATAATATAATTCCCTTTATCATAGTTTGTTTCAATATAAATATGCATTGTCATAATTAATTTTGAATACAAACAAGTTTTGGGGTTGAACCAACAGTGGGGAATCAGTCTACCGAATGTCCTTAAAAGATGTAAATATCTTACAAAAACATTGATGCCTTATTTGTTTAA